AAATAGTTACTAGTATTGCCAGTCTATTTACCTAACACCAGTGAGTACTGGAAGAAGTTTCTTATCTCAGTGTAGTATAAGCTTACATGCTTATTTGGGTAGTGGGTCAGCAAAAGGAGCACAAAACCAAACATAAAGAATTGCATTTTTTTAAAAACTTACATGAAAAGCAAAAACTGAAACTCAGCTATTTTCATTTTAAGGTAAAACATCAAATAATCTATTCTATTATTAATCTGTAATCTGTAAATTTTACTGTAATAGTCTATTACAGTAATAATTGACGATTATTTTCATATTTTATAAAGACTATTATCTGTAAAGACTATAATTAATCTATATCTATAAAGACTATAATCTGTATAAGACTATAAACTATAAATTCTATTATCTGTAATGTTACAGTAAAATAATAAGTAGTATGTAATAATAATATCTATTGCAGTGAAGTTTCCTAATATAAATAAAGTTCATTGTGGTGAAGCTTTATTTCATAAACAAACTATCAGATGAAAGACCAGGGGTTTTGGCTTTGAAAAAAATTGATTTAGAAATTTATAAAACAATTGTTCTATTTTCTGACTAGATATATTCAAAACAAATTCATCTTTAAAAAATTAAATCTGCCATAGGCAATGCATGGTAAGTTTAAAATGAACATGCTCAAAATTGTTAAAATCAAAGCTTTCTTTCATTTTTTTCATAATTTTCAGACATTTATCATATGTTTATGTAGTTAGTAAGCAACCGGGGTTGATATTTGACTGGGGACGGAGCCAGGGCCAGGTTTGATAAAACATAGCCGGGGCCGGGACTGGGTTTATGACCGAGGCTGCATTAATATTGATATTCCTTATAAATATATTATTGTTATTTAAAATTCATGATATATTTTATATAAAGGTATATATATCATCTCATCGTCATTGTCATCATCATCATCATCATCATCATCATCATCATCATCATCATCATCATCATCATCATCATCATCATCATCATCATCATTATCATCATCATCATCATTATCATCATCATCATTATCATCATTACTATCATCATCATCATCTACATCATCATCATCATCATCATCATCATCATCATCATCATCATCATCATCATCATCATCATCATCATCATCATCATCATCAAGCATACAGTTGATAATGATGATTAAAATGATTCTGATGATGATGATGATGACAATGATGATCATCATCATCATCTTAATCATTGGCATCATTATCATCTTCTCTGATACACACTATAAATATAATTACTACTCTCATACTATCTCTAAGATCATTGCTTTTTTTCCTATCTTATAAAGACACCATAAATCCATCTGATCTACTTTGTTCTTTCTGGATGAAAGAACAAACAAGCCAGCAACCTGGATAATCTAGAAAAGTCAGTGGCCATCATGTAATAAATTGATTATTTGAAATTTTTAAACAAAGTTAATAATTTGAAGAAATATTTAAAAAAAAAAAAAACAATCAGGGTGTTTAAAATATCCTAAAATAAATTTCATAAGATAAATTTATTGTAAAATTGCATTTACATTTAAAATGTAAGTAACTTTTTAATTGTAATTTTAATCATTAGAATTGCATAGTTGAGCTATTCGAGTATTTAAATGTAAAGAAATTGATAAATACTAGAAAATAGTTGAATTTATTTTTGTTAGCTCTAACTAGTAACCCCTGCAAATTGCGTTTGTTTAGCCGGGGCCGGGTTTGCAAAAACTTCTGTTTTTAGCCGGGGCCGGGGACCCGGCTAAAAACAGAAGTTTTTGCAAACCCGGTCACTTACTATATGTAGCTTGTATTATTGACCCAGACAAGTTAGCTGATGTAGTGTCATCCTGGACCAACAAGTGTTGCTATTATATTTATGAAGCATGTTGGCAGCACTGCTTTTACTTATAACCGTATTGTGTAGTCTTGTTTCAATTGAAAATTTTGAGGTTCGCATTTATACTCCAGGTTAGGTTAAGCCTATTTTGTTGTTGCATGTGATGGAAGCCCTGAAGGAAATCTAAGGTTTCCCAAACCATTTCAAGTTACAATTGCAAGATTTATTAGATGGGATTTAGATGTCTATTTAACATCAACTCATGCATTTCACTATTCAGCATATAACATGGTTAAACACCCTATGGCTCTGCTGAGTTAAAAGTTATCAGGATTTGCTGTAAATCTTTGCAACATTTCTGTAAAAAATAGTATAAATATAATAAAAAATATCAACTGTATATAACTATAAATATAATAAAAAATAACAATTGTTTTATGCTGCTGTAAAAGTTTTTATCCTTGAGCAAAAGATAATACATAATATTCCAAAACTTTACTAAGTTCTTTTGTGAAGCAATTGGGATATAAAGGCTTTTTTACTAAGTTCTTTTGTGAAGCAATTGGGATATAAAGGCTTTTTTACTAAGTTCTTTTGTGAAGCAATTGGGATATAAAGGCTTTTTTACTAAGTTCTTTTGTGAAGCAATTGGGATATAAAGGCTTTTTTACTAAGTTCTTTTGTGAAGCAATTGGGATATAAAGGCTTTTTTACTAAGTTCTTTTGTGAAGCAATTGGGATATAAAGGCTTTTTTACTAAGTTCTTTTGTGAAGCAATTGGGATAAAAAGGCTTTTTTACTAAGTTCTTTTGTGAAGCAATTGGGATATAAAGGCATAGAAATTTTATTAGAAACTATCTTTGTTTTATTAGCAAAATTAATCATGCTTCTTTCTGCAAAGAGAGAAAAGACATCAGCTCAAGGACCATCATGAAGAAAATCATGAAAAGAACCCTAGTCAGCTTTACGGTAGTAGTAAGTAGTATGATGGTAGGGTGAGTTTGAAGAAGAAGTACGAGATGAAAGAATTATTGAGATTGTTGCATGGTTCGAACCACCATAAGGAGAACGAGGAGAAATTGAACACAAGCTAGGGCCAGAGACCAGAGACATTTAAGTCACCAATAACAACAATATTGGCATAAAGAGGGATAAAGAGAAAGGGCGTGATCAATTTGACTTGAAATTCTAAAAGAGTGCAGTCTTGAGAAGGAAAACAATGAAGAACAAAAGAAAGGTTGTAGAGTGAATAGATGCTAAGTGGAAGCACATAAAAGAATATTCAAAGGATCCAAACCTAATTTCTCAACAAATTGTTGAATTGATTTGTAAGTATTCCCCCAAGCTAAGCATGCGACTATTGGAGTCTTTGTGAATCAAAGGATTGTACTCATCAACACTGAAATCTGAATAAGAAACAGCAAAATTTAAATTAGTCTCTCAAAAATCAAACAAGTCTAGTGAAATTTGCAAGAGGTAAGATTCAACCATTATAAGGTTACTTCGAAGATCACAAGTATTTGTGTTAAACAGGCAGTGCTAATAGTTTTTATGTTTAATATTTTGGGATACTTTAGGCATGATTTAAGTTTAAAGAGGATTTAACTTATAGATAGAGCATGACATCCCAAGCAATGAGGTATGCATTTGTCTCGATCCTGCTAATTAACCTAAAGTGGTAGCTTAAAGTTCCTTATGTAGCCTTGACAATGCATACCAAAAGCATTAACAGAGACACCATTCTTGTGCAACACAGCTCTATTAATACTTTAATATTTTACAGCTATTGATTGAGTCAGCCTCTCTAAGAGCTCCCACAAAGTTTAGGAAACATTACTACCAGCTGGCTTCAGAACCATTAAACTAAGTTTTAGAGCTGTACTCACATTAGGAGTACAAGAACAAGAAGAGTTGCATACCCACTATCAAGAAGGCAAAAGCAAGAATCTATGAGTATAATTAGAAGCTCCAGCATTCATAATCCTAGGCAGGAAACAATGTAACACAGGATTACATCTACGTCAGCCTAATAGACAAATAAGAGGTGCAAGGTTGGTCAACAGAATCAGGTGCTATTCTTAAAAAATAAATTAAGCCTTAGTACCTCCCATGGCAGTGCCTGTCATTTAGAAATTTGGCTTAAGCATTGCCATATATAAGCATTTTTTCATTAAAAAAAAAAAAGTAAGAAAAAAAAATTAGGCTAGCTGAGTACAGTTAACATCTGCCTAATCTCATTTTCAGTTTTTTTTCTTGACACCTCATAGTATCACGTAGAAGTTTTCCAGACAAGATTTTATATTTTACTTTTATAAAAATCCTACTCAAGTTATTATTTTTACTTCTTTGGGAGGGAAGGGTTTATTTAAAAAATGAACACACAAATAACAGAGAGAGGGACAATTTTTTGATGAAATTTTTTGTTACTTCTACTGTTGATATTTGATGAGCAATAGCCGGTTGTTTCAATTGTTGTTACTGCTATCACTGTCTTTAACGCTTGATACTAAATGATTATTTTTTGATGTAAAAAAACCTAGAAATGTTGTACCAAAATTTTGTTCTATTCCTTCAGAGATTATTTCTTGTTTGTCAGTTTTCATTGCAGTGCTCTTTAGTGTCCATTTTGTTTTAGTTTTTGATCTACACCAAGCATAGAATCTGGTTGTCTTATTTGGTGCTAAAGGATTAAGAAATTCTTATCTTTTTCATTTTTAATGTTTCAATGCTTCCTAATTAGCTATGTCAACAAAGATATTTTGTTTTTCTATTTGTCAAATTATGTTTTAAGTGTTTTCATTCATTTACATCTTCAGTAACTTCACAGCACAGTGCTAAAAATTAGAAAATTTACAAACATACTTTTGCTTTAAAGAAAGAAAAAAAAATTTAAAACATGCTTCAAATCTATTTGTCTCTAATTATTTGAAATGTAGCCACCAAGAAAGACATAAAAAGTTTTTTTTGATTTCTGTAACAAAGCCTGAAAAGAAAGTAACATAGAAGTCACTTTACAGGAGCAGCAGTTATTCATGTCCAAAATAGCAGTAGTTATTCAGTTGAAAAATAGTTTTGCAAAACATCTAGGAATTTTTTGCTACTTTTTCATGTATATTTATGACTTCTGTTATATTTTTATTTAGCCATCCCTTGATGATGATGAAAATGAAGAGTCATTTGATAATGATGAAATTGAAGATGACAATGAAGCACTTGCAGAATCAGGTAAAATTTTGTATTAAATAGAGAAAATGATTGTTTTTTGTATTATCCACTGTTGACCAAGAAATGTTTTTAATAGCTATATTATTAAGAGCTGTATATACATACAAAAAAAAGGGTTGGATCCAAAAAAAAGGGTTGGATCCAAAAAAAAGGGTTGGATCCAAAAATTGTATTCTTATTTATTGTTATAGTATTAGAGTTTTAATCAAAATTAAAATGTTTTTAAAAGCTTCCTATCCTATTTCTTTTGTTTTCAAAGAAACTAATGTTAGTCAAGATGATGAAGAAAAAGAACTTGAAGCAGAGGAGTCAAGTTATGCTTATGAAGACTCAAATCAAAGTGATGATGCAAATGAGGATGTCCTTGATCAAGACTTTGAGAATGAATATGAAAAAGTAAATGTCCAAAGCAAAGGTATACTATTGTAAAGTTTTTAAATTTCAAATTTTGTCTTAAAAGTAAAATAGTTAACTTTAATTTAAAAAAAACTTTATATAGAAAACATTTTTACTTTTATAGAATTTATGAGTGGTCCAAAAGAAGATTTACTAGGAGCAGTTCGACAGGTTGGAGGTATTGTGAGTTTTAATTAGTGTTTATTTAGAATAATTAGCTTTTATTCAACAATAAAAGTTTATTTAATTTTTTAGGACAGCCTCAGATGCAGGTTAAACAAGGAGGCTCAACTCAAAGTGTCTCAATGCGTGGAGCAGGTGGATCTATTGGAGGAGGTTTTGCTAGTGGTGGATCTGGTGGAGGAAGTATGTTGTCAGTGTCAAGTGGTGGAGGTCAGTGGAAGTCAGGGAGTCACAGTATGGGCGGAGCTGGAGGTAGTTGGGGAGGAGGAGGCCAAGCTAGTAAGGGTGGAGGAGGAGGTTGGGGAGGAGGAGGTGGGAGTATTGGAGGAGCAACTCTTGGAAAAAGTGCAGGTGGAGGGTTTTCTTCAGGAACTGCTGCTGGAGGAGGATTAGCTGGGGGTGGTTCAGCTGAAGGAAACAGAGTTGGAGGAGGTGCAGCAGGAGGAGGTGCAGCAGGAGGAGGTGCTGCAGGAGGAGGTGCTGCAGGAGGAGGTGCTGCAGGAGGAGGTGTCGCAGGAGGAGGTGCAGCAAATAAAGCAGGTGGAGCAAATGGAGCAATAGTAGGGAGTTTAGCATTAGGAGGTGGGTCCAGTGGAATAGGTGTAGCAGGAGGAGCATATGGTTTGGGTGGAATGAGTAACATAGGTGCTGCTAATGCTTCAATGGAAGCAAATAAAGTCTTTGGAGCTTCAAAGCATAAATTAGCAATTCAAGGGGTTTATATGAATCCTGAAATGGTTCGAATTGGTGGAAAACTGGTACATATTACTACAACTGTACATATTCCACCTCCCAAACTAAATCTTGCTGTACAGTTGCAAAAATGGGATTGGAGAGTTTTTGCTGCTGGATTCAAATATGAGTGTAAGTTTTAGTATAGATGTCAACTGGGTTTAATAAGTAGTTAGAATACAACACAACTCAATAATAATAATAATATATATATATATATATATATATATATATATATATATATATATATATATATATATATATATATATATAATTATTATTATTGAGTTGTGTTGTATTCTGTTGGATTTAATACAGCTCTTTGTCGGTTTAAGAGTGATCGATATTTATAAAATAGATCAAAATATATTAAATATTTAAATGAAAAAAATACGACTTTTTTTATGGGACTTCAGGTTTCATGCCATTTGGCAATCGGATATGGCTGAATGATTGCCAAATGGCATGAAACTTGAAGTCCCATAAAAAAGTGGTATTTTTTTCATTTAAATATATATATATATATATATATATATATATATATATATATATATATATATTTAAATATATATATATATATATATAAGCGGTACCCCCTTGAAGCGGTATCCCCTTGTTCCAGCAAACTTTAGCGGAAAATCGGCTTTTTTTTTGCAAAAAAAGTAATATTTGCCGTAAAAAGCGCCAAAAAAAAGGTCCTCAAATTTTAACTTGAGGACCTTTTTTTTAATGGCCCCCATATATGGTCGTGGCTATCAAAAGTAGTCTAGAATAGCCCCTGATATATATATATATATATATATATATATATATATATATATATATATATATATATATATATATATATATATATATCAGGGGAGGTGGAATATATGTATATATATATATATATATATATATATATATATATATATATATATATATATATATATATATATATATATATATATATATATTTATATAAATATATAAATTGGTAGAAGATCACTTAACAAAAATTTAACACTGTGTTTCATCAATAAAGATTCATCAGAAATGAATGATCAAATTAATAAAGCTTCAATTTATACCAAAAATTAAACTACAGGAAGTCATATATGTCTTACTTACTGTATATTTTCATACATTTGTAGAACAAGCTCACTTATTTTTATAGGTTTTTAGGATAAACTTGTTTTCGTGCCTGCATTTAGAATCAATTCAAACTTTTTGTTTAATAGACATTCTTGGTTTGCATGTTTAATTAATTCAAATATTTCTTGTAGGCATAGTATGCATTTTTTGGAAATATTGTTATATGCAGGTGCTATTTTAAAGATGGACCAGTTCAATATAAAATCATCAATATTTTTTTCTTTTAATTCCCATATGTATTTTGACAGCATAGTGTCTTTTGAATACTTTTTATTTTCAAAAGATTGCTTATGATTGGCAAAACGTTTTTTCCATTCACCCTCTGGTAAGCCAATATATTGATTATCAGGTACATTCTTAGAGGAAACAACATGTTTATATACCACATTTTTTGATAAACGATTTTCCACCATTTAGACAATTATTTTTTGTTTACAATTACAATTTTCTATAGTTTTTGTTTAATAAACCATTATTATGACCTTTTATAATTTTTTCCATAATTTTTGTATAACTGCAACTAACTTTAATTGTATTTCGAATAAAAATTTTATGTAATTTATTAGAGGGCAGGAAATGCTTATTGACTAATTTAAAAAAAACATTTTTTGCGTATGTTAGTGGAAATATTTTTGCTATAATGGGGGTTGAACCAAATTTGCATTCATTTTTTCAGGGTCAAATTTTTGTTCAAAATTTTTAAAACCACTTTTTTTGAGGGCATCTTCAAAAATTTGTTTAAAGGAATCGAATACATTTTAATTAGAGGAGTTTTGGTTTAGCCTGTTAGAGGAGTTTTGGTATTAGCCTGTAGAGGAGTTTTGGTTTAGCCTGTTATTAATTGAAATTAGTATTTGTTTTAGAATTTGGGGTGGATGAATTGTTTTAGAATTTGGGGTGGATGAATTGTTTTAGAATTTGGGGTGGATGAATTGTTTTAGAATTTGGGGTGGATGATTTGAGTTAATATTAATGTACAATAGTTCATCATTATATTTTTCTAATTTTATTGAGCTGTGGACCAAATTTTTTACTCATTACTATTAAACCATTGTCATAATAAAGGCCTTAATCATTATTGCTGATTATTTTACTTCATAAATCTAAAGCATATAGTCCAACAAATTCACAAATTTCTGCTCCATCATAACTGCTGATTGTTACATGAAGCAGTCATATATTTTTTTCTTTTTCCAGGTTTCGTTATTAAAATAAAATTTTTCTGCAATGTTTTATTACCGAGATTGTCTCTTCTGGAATAACTGTGTGGCATTTTGCAAATTCAATTGTTTTATCTAAAATATCTGCAGTTATTTGTTGCAGTTTAGGTTTGGTTAGGTTTTGGGTATTTGTAGTTAGTCCTTTTTTACTGCAGTATGGAATAGGTGTAAGTTGCGGGGTAAAGCGAAGGGTAAAAGTCATTAATGTCAAATTGAATAAATTTACAGTCATTTTTATTTTTGATTATGGAGAACCACTTTATAACATCAGTGGTATTTTTCCACTGTTGTAAATTGATTTTATTTCTAAGAATATTATTAATTTTGTCCAATTTAATTTTGCTTATATGTCCAATCTCACTTTTTGAGGGAACTAATACCCTACAGGGAAGTTTGTTTTAAAAATTTGGTTTATAATCTTTAAGTGTTACAAAGGCTTGGGCAGGGGCAGTTATTTTGATTCTGTTTCAAGGTTTATTTTTTTAGCAATACTTTGGGCTTCTAAATTAATTGCATTTTCCAAATTTTTAGGGGATTTTTCATAAAAATTAGTCAAAAATGCTTAAAATGCTTTTTCTTTATTTTATGTTGTGAATTGGTAAATGTTATTTGTTTTATCAGCGAAAACCAAAATATTAGGGTTTGATTTAATTTTTTAAACATCTATTTTGATTCTGTTTAAAGTTTATTTTTTAAGGCGAATTTTTATTGTTTCAATTAAATGCAATAGGCCATTTTCAAAATTTTCCAAATCAGGTATATTAGGTGGAGTATATTTTGATTTAAATCCATAATTATCACTATCTTGGTTATTATTAAATACATCATCTGTGTTGGTTTTTGATTTGAAGAAAAAATGGGGTTTCCAACAAATTTTTTTAATAAAATGCTCAACTTTTTCAATCAAAGAAATAATATAACTTTTATCATCTAGTATAGGTATGTTTTTCAACAAGTGAAATTATTAGTTTCCATATTCAAACAGAATATTAAAATACAATTAAGAGTGCTCAACAAATGTTAATATGGAGCCTAATATATATTTAAACAATTTTAAATGTATTCTAAATGTATCCATTTGCAGCAAATCCTCAATAACTTCATCACTTATGTTTCCTTTTCATCTTCATCTTCTTTGTCATCAGTCTCTATAAACAAAAGAAGTAAAAAATAATTATGTCAATATCTCGTTTTGCGCTTTTGTAAAAACAACAATAATAACCTCTAGGTGTACATAACAAAAGATCAATATTCAAGCTAAAATATAAATCAATTCTAAGCATAGAGCCTGGTTGACTGTTTTCCCTTTGTTTTAAAAGAAGCTATTTGTCTTTTTCTGATTTCAACATGGCTAAGGGATTTTGATGGCTGATATCAAAAATATCATCTACTTTTTAGGCAAGCTTTTTGATTTTTTTCTTTGCAGGTTTTAATTGTTTTTTCTTGTCCTTTTGTAAATTTCTCTGCTCTGCGTGAAGTTTCTCTAATTTAATAGTAACAACTTTCATGTGTTGTGGAAATTCAGGTTTTTCCTAAAAAAGAAATCTTCTAGTTAAATCTCTTATATTTAAGTAAATCTCTATATTAAACTACACAGTACAAAAATTGTTGAACAAAGTGGTCAAAACGTAATGAGTTGAGGGCTATTTACAACCATAAATATATTTTACAAAGGTTTAAGAAATTCAATAAAAAAAAAAAGAAATAAAATAGAGGTCACTTCCAATTTACATTAAAATCATGGTATAATATAAATGATATATCATGTAGTGATATATCATTTATAATATATCATTTATAATATATTGATTCAAATCAAGTGAAATAATATATAAGTTTCAAAAATTTTAATTATTTTATAAATAAATTATTTGGAATTTTTGTGCTTAAAATATGACATTTTTTAACTAAATATAAAAAAAGTCCATATTAGAGAGTTATTTTGATAATATTTTTTTTTCGATATGATTTTATAAAATCATTATTATTTTTGAGATTTTTATATAAATTCGCTTCATTTAAGATCCAACACGATATTTGAAAAACATTAACCTTTTTTTTGATAATATTAAGGACCTATTAAAAGTTTAAAGGTTTTGTGACATCCCTTTAAATATTTTTTTTATGCAATACATATATATATATATATATATATATATATATATATATATATATATATATATATATATATATATATATATATATATATATATATATATATATGTATATATATATATATATATATATATATATATATATATATATATATATATATATATATATATATATATATATATATCAGGGGAGGTGGAATATATGTATATATATATATATATATATATATATATATATATATATATATATATATATATATATATATATATATATATATATATATATATATATATATATATATATATATATATATTTATATAAATATATAAATTGGTAGAAGATCACTTAACAAAAATTTAACACTGTGTTTCATCAATAAAGATTCATCAGAAATGAATGATCAAATTAATAAAGCTTCAATTTATACCAAAAATTAAACTACAGGAAGTCATATATGTCTTACTTACTGTATATTTTCATACATTTGTAGAACAAGCTCACTTATTTTTATAGTTTTTTAGGATAAACTTGTTTTCGTGCCTGCATTTAGAATCAATTCATGTATATATATATATACATACAATATATATGTATATATATATGTATATATATATATATATATATTTATATTTATATATATATATATATATATATATATATATATATATATATACATATATATATATATATATTTATATATATATATGTATATATATATGTATATGTATATATATATATTTATATTTATATATATATATATATACATATATATATATATATATATATATTTATATATATGTGTATATATATATGTATACATATATATATATATATATATATATATATATATATATATATATATATATATATATATATATATATATATATATATATATATATATATATATATATATATATATATATATATATATATGTATATATATGTATATATATATATATATATATATTTATATATATATATGTATATATATATATATATATATATATATATGTATATATATATATATGTATATATATATATGTATATATATATGTATAAATATATTTATATACATATCTATATATATATAAATATATATATATATATGTATATATATATATATATATATATATATATAAATATAAATATATATATATATATATATATATATATATATATATATATATATATATATATATATATATATATATACATACATATACAAATTTTACAAATGTAAATATCTATTTTTATATTTGTAAAATTGCATCATCAATCAAATTTTTTAGCTGTTGGAAAAGCGAGTGTGGGAATATTAGTTGATGGATCGTATGGAAAGCACATTGAAATGATAAAGCGTTGGGCCTACAACTTTATTCTGATGTTTAAGAGAGGTTCTTATATATCAATAAGTACTTTTGGAGATTCAGTTAATTTGGTATGGAGTTAACATTTATGCAGCCATATTTGTAGCTATTGGATTTTAACTCTAACTTTATAACTAATTATAATAATTATATTAATTATTAACTAATTATAAATAATTCATTACTAACTATTTATAGCTAAAGATAGTTCTAATTATTAGTTTTACTATTATTATCAAACTTTAATTAATTTTTAAACTAATTAAATGTTATTATATGTCTTTTTTAAGTTTGTAATTGTTTTGAGTTTAGTTAAAAATATATAATTTTTATTTATTTTTTATTTATTTTCTTTTAGATTTTATTTTAGAGTTTAGTTCAAAGTTAAAATAAATCAATTTTTATTTGCTTTTTATTTTTTATTTGTTTTTATTTTATTTTTATTTGGTTTTAGATAAATGGCTTTAAAACATTTTCAAAGTCTTCAGATATAAAAGAAAAATGCATGGAGATTTTACCACTCCCTGGTCGTAAAATAGGAGAAGCATTAGAATATTATTATAACTTGTTTCAAGCTATTAAATTAGAAGCAAAGTTGAAAATGTTTTTGTTTATGTTCTTGAAAGGCAATACTCACGGTGAAAGTGCAAAAATGGAGGAATTTGGTGGAAAATTAAAAAAGCTTGGTAAAAGAGATTTTTTAATATATTCTTTATATAATACAACACATTTTAGTTTAAGTTTTAGAATTAAAAACATAAATGAAGGAGAACTGAGATAACAGGATAAATTAGCATACCAAGTTTTTTTTGCATTGGTTTATTTAATTTTTCCTCATAATTTTGCAGGAGTTAAGATATTTGTTATGGCAACAGGATCTGGTGTTAGCCTTAGTGAAATGCAAAAGTTTACTAAGCCAACTAGAATATTTCAAGCATTGAATTATGAAGCTGTTATAATGGGAGGTCCTGCACTGAAAATTGGAGGTCAACCAAGTATTATGAAGCAATCTATTTTAAGAATCATTCAAGCAAGACTTCAAAGATGTAATTAATTGTAAAAAATTTTAATGTAAAATTAACTATAAATAATTTTAGCTTTTACATTTAAACATTTTTAAGTTATTATTTTTATGGTAATTGGTATTGACCTAGTATTATATAATTGGTATTGACCTAGTATTATTATACTTGTATTGACCTAGTATTATATATGATAATCAAAAATAGTTTATAATTTCCCATGTTACTTCAATGATTGCGGTAACTTTTAATTTCTTTAGACAATAAGTTAATAAATTATGGTAGTCTTTTTACTATAACTTATTGTCATTCTATAACATTTTCTATAACTTATTATCATCATTATAAAATTAAAAATATACTATTTACCGACATGATTCAAAAGGCTTTATTATAAAAAAAAATCAAATCTAAGTTTCTTCTACAAGCTACTGCTCTTTTTTTTCCGCAATATTTTATTGTAAGTTTTTTTTTTTTTGCGGAGCCACTGGTCTGATCACTGGTATTATCACATATTTTCCAAATATTTTTTAATAAAACTAAAAAGACTTATTACCCTGTTTTTTTCTTCTTTCTTTTGCAGAAAGCTTTTTCCTGCTTTTTTTTTTTAAGTTCTGAATTTGCCTGATTTAGTTCTTTATGTTTATTTATTTATAATCCAATATTCCTATTTCAATTTTCCTTTAGATATAATTTTTTTTTGTGTGAATAATTTCTAAAAATTTTATTAAGTATATAATATGGTAAAGTATATTTTTTTATAGATCTCGGTTTGGAAGTAGGCACTTCTTCTCCCCACTCTGTTCATGATAAAGGGCATATTCACAGAGGTTAGTATTGTGCATACAGCACACACACGCAGCTTTCCTATTTTAGTATGACATGATGTATGTATGTATGTATGTATGTATGTATGTATGTATGTATGTATGTATGTATGTATGTATGTATGTATGTATGTATGTATGTATGTATGTATGTATGTATTTATGTATCAGCGTGGAAAATAACGGCCAGTCAATAGATAATGACAGCCTGAATTGAATAAAAATGCTGTTTTGACCTCCCAAAATGAATTCTTGCTGGTTATGGTTGACTGGTTAAAAAACAAAAATTAGAGATTTAAAATAAGGTTTGACAAAAAATCAGGATGTTATTTGGAAAATGCATATAGTAAAATTTTGATAAACTATTTGAATTTTGAAAAAGGGTTTGAAATAGTTTTTTTGTTTATGATATGCTACTTTAATTGTTAGCGGGTCATTAAAACGAAAAGTTTGAAAGCGAATTGAAGTTAAAGCGAATTTCTTCTTTCATTCTTTTATTTTAAATACTGCCTGGTTTTTATCTTTATTTTCGAAACAAATAAATTTACTTTTTATAAATATTATTCAAAAAATTAAAGTTAAAAACTTATTAATAATTTATATCAATATAATTCAATAATTAAAAGTTAATAATTTATTAATAATTTAATATTATCAATATATAAAATTTGTCATTATTAAAACTTTCATCTAATAATTATTGTATATTAATAGAAACCAGTAATTTTTCTGCTTTAACAACCCTGAACTCATTAATTATCTTTGTGTATGTATCTATCTTTGACCAAGATACACGTATGTATCTTTGACAAAGATACATACATGTATGTATCTTTATAGATACATACATATATCTTGGTCATACTATCATACTATCATAGATACATACTATCTATGTAGATACATAAATGTATGTATCTTTGACAAAGGTATATATCTTTGACAAAGATACATATCTTTGACAAAGATGCATACTTACACAAAGACTTAGTGAATGTATTGCTCAAGGCTTACGTAATATATATGTAACGACGTACTATATAATAATAATAATCATAAGTTTTTTGTTTCTTGGTAAAAATCCTTTTCTCTTAAATGATTGAAGTTCTTTTTTTATTACTATTTTAATATAAAAATTTAATGTTTTATTTTGCTAATAATATAATAATGTAAAATAAATTATGTTTTTAACTATGAACAGTTTTTCTTTAACCTGCACTTAATTTGTTTTATTTTTCATTTAAATCTTATTTATTTTCTCGTAAGTTTTGCAGCAAACTGCAAATAAATGAATGAATGGTTTAAAGTTAAATTAAAAATTACTAATTGAGCGCTTGCGCCTTTTTTTTTTTTTTTTTGTAACAGGATTAATAATATATATATATATATATATATATATATATATATATATATATATATATATATATATATATATATATATATATATATATATATATATATATATATATATATATATATATATATATATATATATATATATATATATATATATATATATATATATATATATATATATATATATTATATATATATATATATATATATATATATATATATATATATATTAAAAATCTCATTTTATGTAAATTTAATAATTTTTATAGTGTTTTATTAAATAAATTGTTTATTACTTTAAAATTTGTTTCATTAAACAAATTGTTTAATACAAAGAAGACAAATGTTTAAAAATATTTAAAGTATTAAACATTGAGTTTAAACAGTTTAACTTAAACTTTTTAAACTTTAAGTTGCAGACAAAAGTTAGTAACATTATTATAAACTAATTAACATTTTTTTGTTTAGAAGTTTTTGAAATGTTTTTAATGAGCAAAAGATATAAAATGTTAGAATGTATTTCTTCTTTAACTTCAGAGATTAATTTCATTATTATTCAAAATTATTATATGTAATTAAGAACATAATCTCAACTGTCCTTTTTTTTTCATTGAATAATTTCTGTTATTTTTTGTGCAACTTTTCTCGCCATTTGCAAAGTCACTTCAATGTAATCAATTATTTTAAAATAAATTAAAAATTATAAATTGCCTGTTTGTGCATTTAAAAAAAGCATTAATTTTATTTAAAATTGTTATTATTAAAACAATTTTTCATTCTTCAATCCTTATCCCTTTGAGCCTTAACTTTTTTCTGGGTTTATAAAGTTTAGTCATGAAGAACGGTTCAGGGTCATTAAAGCAAAAAAAACAACAGGAAAAGTTACTGGTTTCTATTAGCAAACTTTAACTATTAAAATAATTTTTAATAAAAACTATTTTTTTATATATTTTAATAAAATTAAAAGTATTAAAATTAATAATATTAAATTATTGATAAACAAAATTATTTAGTTAGTAATTTAAATTTTAAAAAAATTTTAAAAAACATTATTTAAAAAAAATGATAAAAACTAGGCTATATTATATTGTAAAAGAACAAAGTAAATTCGCTTTAAACATCTTTTTTTTTGATTTAAACAAAGAAGAAAGAAAAAAGTTTGACCGTCCAAAAAAAAATTAACCATCAATTCCTTGAGTAGGTTGGTCAAATTGACCGCTGGCCTTCAATTCCTTATTTTCCACACTGGTATGTATGTATGTATGTATGTATGTATGTATGTATGTATGTATGTATGTATGTATGTATGTATGTATGTATGTAATTATACATGTGTACAGTAGGGTGCATCGGTTGGTACCATAATTTATGAAAATCACTATTTTTCGAAGCGCATACTCATATTCTTATGTAAAATTAAATTTTAATTTGAGTTTCATTTTAGTGTTTTTTAATTTGAAAACGTTTTGGTTGTACAATTGATACTTTTAGATACGCAATATATCATTATTTATAACATTTTTAATTTTTTTAGAAAAGTTCTCTAAATTATTTTATTTTTAAACTTATGTCAAGTAGCGTTGTTTTGTCAGAAACTGATTAAACTTTCTTAATGATAAGAGCCTAGGAACACCCTCCCCCTCCCAAACCCCCTGGCCTACCTCTGAACAAATGAATTTATGTCATCGTTCCTAATGTAGGGGAAAGAACTTTTAATCTAAAAATTACTCAACCTGATATTTTTTAATTTGCTAAAAGGTTTAAAACTATTTTCAAAATTATTTTTTGTTAAATATTTTATTAAAAAAGTACTTCTCATTTGAAAGCGGTTTTCAAGTTTTACAGGTTTATGTTTTGAAAAAAAAATGAAAAAAATACAAAATATACAATTTTGTTTTATTTCTTAGTTAAATTATTTCAAGAACTTCTTTCTTTGATTTATAGGTGGGAATTTCTTTCCTGTGTATCATTCTTGTTCTAACAAATCCATCTCTTCTTTCTTGGCCGTAAACATGGCAGAAGCTTCCATCACGCTTTTGACGCAGTGTTCTGTTGCTTGAGTGTAAATGCTGAATTTAGGATTTTACATGTAAATATTGGTTCATAACAATCTTTTACATTCCAAGAAATTAATTCTTGAAGAATAGTAGCGTCAAGGTTAATTTTAGGAGATATTCTTTTTCGAACAGCAGTGTCTCCAAGCTCATTATTTCCTCTAAATTGTTAAACCTTATCAACACCAAACTTTTTTTTCGTTTTTATTAGAGCTAGTTAAGAGTGAAACCAGAATACTCTCACTATGGCTGTACCAAGCCCCAGTTCGTATATAAGGTGTAATAATATTCGCCACATTGACTGGGAGTGTTTTAAGAATTTTAAGTTCAAGCAAGATGTGTCTTGGTCCGTCCTCCAGCAGATGTTTGGAAGAAATTTCAAAATAAATTTTGAAATACATTTTGATACAAAACTGAACTAATATCTTCAAGATCTCCAGCTCACTGTATTTAAAGTTATGATTTCTTATCCGCAAAAACATCATAGCCATACCTGTTGTAAGCCAGCGAGAATGAGACAGTGATCCACATTTTAGATTTGCGAGATCTGGAGAACGTTTTCCTGACTTGATAGCATTTACATATCTGTAACTGATATAAGTTTTTTTTCAAGCAACTTGTCGACCAAAGTTTTTGTTTCGTTTTTTAGTTGTGCAGTATTTACATTGTATGTATCATCAGTATCATCAATACCGTTGTTGTTTTCTTCCAGCAGATTGAAAACTAGTTCAGGATTCTAAATTGTTTAAACATGCTTCTATAATATAATATTATTACTTACCAATATTGGTAAGTAGTATTATATATAATAGAATATATAAATTTTAAATTTAAAAAAGTTTAATATATATTAAACATTAAAAAGTTAGTTTTAAAGTCTTTCTTAGATTGCGGTAAGAAATGTTTTAAAACAATTAAAGAATTATACTCATGGTAATTTAGCTAACCTAAAATTTATCAAACTCATTTTTTTTTATTTTCTTTTTTTTCCCTTTTTCTTTCAGTTTTTTCCTGAATGTTTTTCCTTTTTTCTCTTCTCTGTAGGCGAATCAATTCTTTATAATCACATAAACCAATTTGCATAGTAGAAATCTCTTTCTTTTTAAGCCTCTGATTACGAAGCCAAAGAAAATCAAGTACAGGAACTTTTTGTAATAGAGGGCATGAACAATAAACATGTGCACCTAATTTGCAGTTTTTGGGATCATTGCAAAATGATGCTGCCTCTGTGCAAATAATGATTGTATGAGTTCATGATATGATATCAAAGAGACTATCAAAGTCATTAGTTATTTTGTTAGTTGCTTCTTTAGATGGTTTTGCGTTTTTTAAAAACTTGGATATTTTAAACCATAGTCTCCCTATTTTTTCCGCAAGTGATTTTTACGAAATTGTAACTGGTGGTTTAAACAGACTATTTGCTTTGAACCATTGAGCTGTCACCAGTTTAGCAAGTTCTCTGCTTAGTTCTTTCGTAGCAAAATTATGTTTTCTACATTCAAATTTTTTTCTTAAAAGGTAGATATAGATTTAGTTATTTATCACAAATAATTTATATAAAGTCAATACATATTTTTGATATAATAACTTTTAAAAATATTTTAGAAGTTAAAAAATAAAATAAAAGCTAACCTTTAGAAAAATACCCATTTGAATTACTGATCTTTTTGTGGGTACCTCCGACAAAACAAACTCTTTACCTTTTCCAACAAAATTAGACAATTTAGTTGCTAAACTATGTCTAGTTTTCACATTCGATGTATAATTACTCATTGTTAGTACTGTTATTAGAAATAAAAAAAAATTATACACATTATTAAAAAGAATTTGTGATTAGAGTCTTTTTTATGAAATAAGTTTTAGTATATAAACAAAGAAAATTTGAAGTCTCAGGTATATAAACTGAATAAAAACCTGCTTCTTTCGTTTCTTTGTTTTAAAAAAAATATATATATTTTCTATATCTTTCCTTAACAAAAGCACATAAATTTAAGATAAAAATGTGTCTATGTATTTTTTTTTTTTTTTTTTTTATTTTAATTCACCTCCTCACGGCCGAGAAGGCCACTACAGACGAGGAGGCTACTTATTTGTGGCTATAACCCTCTCTCAACTCTATAACTCTGAAACACGAACCTTGATGAACAAGGCCGCTGCGCGGAGAAACGAGTTGAGCGCGGTACTACCAGGGACGTAGTGAGGATTGAACTCCGAACCACTCGTTTATGAAGCGAGCGCTCTACCACTACACCACTACCGCATGTTATATTTATAACATATTTATTCAGGCCTTCGCCCACACTCCCCTAAAGTAGTTTATGGGAGCAATTTATGGCTCTCGCAAAAGTATTATTTTTTAATAAATATAAACCTTTTTTTTTTAGATATTGATTAGAAAAATTTTTAAAAACTTGTGCAAACTACAAAGAATAAAAAAGAAAAAAGTTTCAGTTTTCAGAACTATACAAACGGCTTACAACTTGTCAACTTTATAATATAAGTTATTTTATACTACAACAATTTTGTTTTTGGTAAAGCAGAATTCTAGAATTTTAAATGTGAATTATTACATAATTATACTATTAAAAATACAAAGTTTTTTATAAAAAAGTATAAGAAAATGCTAAACTCTGATATGAACATTTCTGTTAAACTGTTACTGCAAGAACGAACAGCAGTTTTAGCTTAGAATTTACAAATGCTTGCCAATGTTCAGAGTGAGTTCATAGAAAATCAATAAGAAAGCCAAGTTCATAGAAAATCAATAAGAAAGCCAAGTTCATAGAAAATCAATAAGAAAACCAAAATATTTGCCAAAATAAAATTTTTGCCAATATTTGCCAAAAATAAAAATTTACAATCGCAGTTTATAAAAGAAAAATATACATGACTGGGGGTAGAAGAAAGCAAAATTAGTCTTATCATTAAGCCCCGAAAAAGATAAAACATCGATTACAAGGTCAAATAATAACCAAATAATTTATTTTAACCCATGTTTAATATGCATAATCGTTGAGTATGCATAATACGCATTATAAAAACGAACTTTATGATATTTTGATAACTAGTATTAATTTTTCATGGTAAGTATTACTCACTTTGAGAATTATACAGTTATTACAACACATTTACGAAAAACAGGTAATTATTTACAATAAACTATAAAATGCACAACTAAAAGTCTCAATTGCCCTACCAAAACAATTTCAAATTAGAAAACACAAAAAAGAAACTCAAATTAAAATTTAATTTTACATAGGAATATCAGTACGCCGTATTATTTTAATCAAATTGATTTTAGCGATATAACCAAGTGTACAGACATATAAGTGAAAAAGTTACTTTGTAAAGTTAGAAAATAAAAAGTTATTTTGTAAGGTTTGGAAAATTAAAATAACGATTTCTTTTGTGCTATAAAATTTAACATTTTACTGATTACTTTTTAGAATGGTGGTATAAAAGCTGGCAATGGGATAAACAGTATCAAAAAGACTCATCCTTTGATTTTAAATATGGCGGTATATTACTTTGAATTTATAATAAGTGCTACAAATTTTGTTTTTTTAAAAAGTATATAAGGTTTTAATGTTTAAATTATTTTAAATATTAAAAAGAAGTTTTTTTCTAAAAGTTGGAAAAGTGCAAAAGAAAGTGAAACATTTTGTTTAAAAAAGTTTTTTGAAAGTTTTTAGTTTTTTCTTAATAAGTTTTCCTAGAAAGTTTTTTAAAGTTCATAGAAACTTGTCAATTTCTTAAGTTTCTATTAGAACATTTTTTCACAGGTGTTGGCAAAGCTAATATTGCTTTTGTTGTTGATGGAACTAGTGCAGAACTTATCATGTTTCTTCAACGCTATGTGTATAATTTAATTAGGTTGTTCCAACAACAAGGAACATACACAACAATTATGACATATGGTAGAGACCAATACCGGATTGCCAGTTGGGTATCATTTGTTAGTCCACAGGCAGTGCAGGTTTGTATAACATTAAATAATATATTTTTAATTAATGTGTTTGTTAATTGTTTTCAATTATGCGATTGTACAATTAACAGATGGTTTTCAGTGTCCACTTAAGCACTTCATCCAACTAACAGAATCAATAAGGCAGCTTATGTAGTTCACTTTATTTATTAATGCATACTGAGTGTAGTAGTTCATTGATGAACAAAGATATACCACAAGTTTATCGCAAAACAAAAAGATACAAAATTATATACTGACTGCAAAATAAAAAGTATGTGTACAGTAATGTAAAGCCTAAGAATGAAAAAAAAATGAAAACAATAATATAAATGTAATTTGTGAAGTGGTCAAATAATTAATTTCTATTCAGAGTCACATCTATTATTACAGTCTAAAATATGATAAAAATAGTGGTATAGTGGGGTGGTATAGTTGTTAATAAGAGGAATGAAGATAGAACCCTACCTTGCCCTGGTAGTAGTGCAGCATATTTCTTTACTTGACGGGGATGTGGAGATATGCTGCAGCACTGCCAACTGAGGTTTACCATGTATGATAATTAGGCAAAGATATTTTTTTAGATTATCGTTTTATATTCTCCAATCACCACAATGCCTTACAAAATATCCTCTATGTTTATATTTTTATAAATATACACATATTTGTAATTGTTGTAATTTTTAATAATGAATGATTTTTTAGAATTTTAATTTGTATTTTTGTTATTTGTTATTACTACTATCTTATATATATTTTAATTTGATCTCATCAACTATGTTTTGCACCATCCTAATAATGTTAGTAATAAATACACATAACTTTTTTATATTTTTTTAACATTTCTTTTTTAGAAATATTGTGGATCAATACCTTTTATCCAAACAAAATATCGAAACACTGCAGCAGCTTTGGAAGAAATGTTTCAATTATTTTCTGTTCAAAAATCTAAAAATAATAACCCAAACATTTTATTCTTGTTGGTTACAGGAACCTCTAGTGACAAAAGTAAATTCAAAGAAGTTGGAGAGAAGTTTAAAAGTTTAGGTATTAGAATATTTAAGTCATGGTTTGTTTTTTATAACTTTATTTATGTTACTTTTTTATTTTTATTTAAAGCTTTTAAAAATTTTGAATAAGATTGAACAACAACTTAAATCGATATAGTGGAACAACAACTTGTAAAATATACGTAATATGTATAATACATATATTACAAATATATAACCACACAAATAATAATTTGTTTTAACAATTTGACCATGGCTTTTGACATATTTTCAAAATTTAAAAATGCGTTACAAAAACTTATCTAAAAAAAACTTTAAAAAAGAAAAAAAAATCTTAATGAAACAGAAAAAAAAAAAAAATACTTAACTACTAACAAAAATACTAACACAAAAAAAAAACTCATCAAACTAAATTTCTCAGTCCATTTAATTTACGCATTAAAAAACCATTTTATTCTTTGTTTTAACAATTGTACTTTATTTTTTGTTTTTAAATATATTTAAAGATAAACATTTATCATAAAAAATACATAATTATGCCAGTAAAAAAAAAAAAAACAATTTTTAATACTTATTATAAAAATTCATTAGAAGCGTTTTGTTACTTCATTAAAAAGCGTTTGGATAGTATAAAAGTATTTAAGATAAAACTTATTTAACTGTAACGGCTTTCTAAAACATTTGTCTTTTTTTTTCAATGAAATTTTGTTTATCTTTTCAAATGTATTAACTTTAATTATTCTTATATTAAAATTTGTTATAAAGACTCTCATTGTCGTAGAATGTCATCATTTATAAAAATAAAACAATTTTTTATTTTTAATAATGCTCATTATGCACACTTAAACAATTTATTTATTATAAATTAAAAATATATATATACAACTGTCAATTATACTTTTAAAAAAACCATTATAAGTAAAATGTTACTTTATATAAAAGAGTTTTGCTAACATAAAAACATTTGTTCAAAGTTTTGATGTAGTTTGTTTCACTTAAGGTATAATTCTGAATATTTTTCATTCAGCGCGTTATTCAAATGTTTTTTGAAACAGTCAAATCGTCAAAGCAAAATGTAATTTGCCTGGTCATATAAAGACGTACGATTGCAGGTCTTCCTGTGAAAGACTGGTAATAAAAAAAAAAGGGTAAATCAGTGTTTATAATAAATCACTGATGTGGAACAACAACTCATAAAATATACTTAATATAAAAAAAAAGTAATGGTTCAGAAAAAGAAAAATTTCAATCATTTATAATTTTTTTAATAAGATTATTAGTTTTTAACATCAAGCTTTAGAATTTCTCTTGACACTTAGTCAAAATTTATTTAAAACTTAATTAAAGAAAGATATTCGACTTCGAAATGTTTTTAAAGGGATCCCAAAAAGCCAAGATAATTTTTTTTTTTTTTTGAGTAAAACTGGGTATACGTTTATTTTTTTGAGTAAAACAAAACAATAAACATATACCCAGAAAAATTAACTTTGTAGTTTCACTCGAAGCTCACCATCTCTATATTAGCATGTGTTTTTAAGTCTTTAAAATATCCACTGAAATTATAAAGATTTTTTTGAAGTTATAGATTACTAAAGAATTTGTTTAGTTAAGTTATTTATATGTTATAAAACTTATTAATATATTAAAAAATGTTTTTGTTATAAATTACTATAGAATTTCTTTAGTTACTCAATTTTCTAAGTTTCGAGAAGGTAGTATTAAAAATATGAATAAAATATTTCAGCTTGTCTATTGCTATAAATTAGTTTTGTGTTATATTTATTTTTGTTAAATGATTATTATCTTTATTAAGATTCTGTTATAAAAATGATTTTGTATTATTTAACCTTATAAAAGTTTGATTTACAGCATTTATTTGCAAAACTTTTTATCTGGTACAAATATTCTCAAAATTCTTATTTAATCACGCGAGAATATATTTAATGAAGTTTATTATTTAAAATATGTATTGCTTAGTTTATTTTATTTTTGAAATTAAACAATTATTGCTAGATATTGCAAAAAGGTGTAACATTGCATGTATTACATTGCATTGCATGCATTGAGCCAATTTAAAAATTTTAAAAAGTTTTAGTTGTTTAATTAAAAACTATTTGTCAATTTTGTTAGTTTTTTGATTTCTAGTGTTAAGAGACAGGTTTTAATGTAAAATCTGACATATAAATTTGGAAATATTAAATATAATAAGTTTTTTAATGTGTGATGACAATTTTTAATGTGTGGTGACAATTTTAATTGCCATATGTCTCAAATTATTGCCACAAAACATTAATTATTGCTTTAATTAATAAAAAACTGTCTGTAAATTTGTTAAATGTAAATTCTATAAATATTTTTTAGCTAAAAACTAAAGAATTTGACAAATATCTCTAATAAATGATGTCGTTTTCAAAATTATTTATTAATCAAAAATTTAAAAGTTTTTTAAAATATCATTTTAATAGGAGAACTAAAAGTCATAGCAATAAATGGTTTAGATAAACCAGAAAAAAAATTTGCGTTGTTTACATAAAAGGAAAAAAAAACTCAGAATATAGAATAAGGCAATGGACATCTTATTTATATACTTATTATATTTAAGAGTGTTTTAATTTTATTTAGTTCTTGCGCTCTATAAAAAAACATTCTTTTGTTTAGCTTCAAATAAAGTTTATAGGAAAATCATAGAATTGTCAAATAAAACTAAAACAAATAATATGGATTCAAAGAAAAAAAATCCATTTTTTTAAAAAAAGAATTCTACAATGATGTAATTTTTAATACTAAAACATTTTGGAATTAAACACGTTCAAATAAATTATAAAGTCTGTAGGTTGCAGCATTTATTTTAAAGACTTCAGAACACATGCTAACATTGAGACGACAAACTTCTAGTAAAACTACAAAGTTAGTTTTTCTTGGTATACATTTAATATTTTGTTTTACTCAAAAAATTCAGTCCAAACATTTTTTAAAACATTCTCTTTTATATGAACACAGCTTGTTTCAGCACTTTGGAATCCCTTTAACACTTTAAGCACTTCATCCAACTAACAGAATCAATAAGGCAGCTTATGTAGTTCACTTTATTTATTAATGCATACTGAGTGTAGTAGTTCATTGATGAACAAAGTTATCTGCATTTGTTTACACTTTTTTGTATAAGTTGGCACATTTTTTTTGCATTAAAATTAGCACATTTTTTGCATGAGTTAGCACATTTTATTATACTTAACCTTATTAAACTTTTTTTTATATTTTAATTGTAAAGTTATGGTTTACATTTTTATTGGTAAACTTCTGATATTGTATACATTACTTGCATAAATCTTATTAAATTTTTTGTTTAACAGTATTTTACTGCTTTAAATATCAACTAACAAGTTTTAAGATTTATAAACAATATTTAGTATTAGCTGACAACTTTAAGATTTATTAGCAAGGTTTAATATTAATTTAAAACTTGTAAGATTAACTAGCAATGTTTAATATTAGCTAACAACTTTTAAGATTTATTAGCAATATATCATTCACAAACTTAGTGTTAGTAGTAGTGTTAGTGCTCCTTCGAGCAAGTTTAACACGAAACTCTTAGCAGCTATTGCAACCAAGGTAGTGGCGAGAAAGAGTTGCAGCACTTTTATTATTAGAAAAAGTGAACAAACGTTTATGCAAATATCTAACACACGTAAACTTCAAATTAAGTAATGTTAAAGCATGCTGAAACATTTATCATGTTTTACAGTTTGACTTTTATTTGAAAATTGTGATGCTGCAACATTTCCTTAATTTTGATCTATAGCATTTATTTCTATTAAAAAAATTATTATATAGTTTTAAAAATTTGCATTAGTTTATGTGCTAGCATAGTTAAGTGGATAGCGTTCAGAGCTTCTGAGCTAAAAAGTCGTGGTTCAAGTCCTTCCACTAACAACTTTCTTTTGTTAATTTTTATTTTAAAATTATTTTAAAATACAAAATACTTTTGAAGTTTTGTAGAGACTATATACAAACATATGTAATGATATTATACACTTAAACAAATAAAAAAATTTTTTGCTATAAATATATATATAAACAATATATACAAACAAATTTTTTATATGAAATAACTAGAAATAAGATTTTTTTAAAATTTTTCAAAAAAAATTCCTATTAAAAATATATGGAATATATTTTTATGGAATATATTCTAATAAAGACAACAACTATTTATTTATTACTGCTGTAATAAATACAAACTCTTATCTGTGAAATTATATATCTATATTTATATAAATATATAATTATATATATAATTATATATACCCGTTCTATATCTTTTTGTTAAGATTTTTGCTCTTAAAGTTTTTTTTCAGACAATTATTTTACTAAAAAATATTAAATAGTAAGTAATTAAGGAATAGCTATAGAAATAATCGGTGTGAAATAGATATAAATAGAAATGGTAGGTTTATAAAGACCCGTAATTTACATGTCTGGAAAGCTAGGATATATATATGTATATATATATATATATATATATATATATATATATATATATATATATATATATATATATATATATATATATATATATATATATATATATATATATATGTATATATATATATATATATATATATATATATATATATATATATATATATATATATATATATATATATATATATATATATATATATATATATATATATATATATATATATATATATATATATATATATATATATATATATAAGGAAAAAGTATAGGAAAGTTTGGTTTGAAATAGACTTACAAAGACCCGTATTTTTACAAGTCCAATCAGCTAGTATTTAATATTAGTTAACAACTTTTAAGATTTATTAGCAATGTTTAACATTAATTCTATAAACTTGATGCATATGTTTTACTTGTGTCTCTGTTTCTAAGACAAGGCAACTAATTCTATTATCTCCTAATGAGGGTACAGCTCTAAAAATCAGTTTTATAGTTCTGAGGCCGGCTAATAGTTAGGTTTCCCAAACTCTGTGGTAGCTCTCAGAAAAGCTGATT